CTGGCACTCTGCCTGTTAGGACCAGGGCATGGGAAAGACCCTTGGCCTACCCACCAAAAGCAGAAAGGGGTTTTAAGAATCAAGGGTCAGTGTCCACGATCTTAGCTGATACCAGTAGGAAGAACCCAGGTTTTGGGTTCAGAAACAATAGGCTTTGAACCACAGTCCCCCACCCCATCTGTGTGCCCTTGGTGTCATGTCTTTTCTCCCTCTGACCTGTGTCCTCATCTGTGAAATGGGATAATAATGCTCCCCTCATGAGATTTTTGTAGAGTCCAGATGTTAAAGGGAGCCTGAGAGTGCTGGGCCCAGGGCTGAGCACACAGTGGGAGAGTGATGGAACTGGGTTCTAGAAAGAGGGTGGGGGTGGTGAGAAGGTGGCACCCCAGGCTTGAACTGCCTCTTGGAGAAGTGGCTGGATGGTATCAAAGCTTTTTCACGAGCCAGGAAGGGCCCAGCAGAACTGTGAGCAGCAGAGCCTCTGGGAATGGCATCTTGGCTGATCTTCAACCTTGGGCTGGGCCAGCTCTTCTAAATATAACCTGCATCCCCTCCCCCATTTCACAGATTGGGAAAGACCCATCCAAAGTCATGGAGCAAGTCCATGCTCAGGCTTGACCCCACATCTTTCTGACCCTGGCCAGGCTCTCTGTCCCTATCCCAAAACTGATCCCAAGTCCAAGAACCTTGAGCTGGGAACGGAGACACCGGCCTCTTCCAGGTGGGCCTTTCGGAAGGGGCATGTTACCAGCTAGGCCCTGCCTGCCTCTCAGGGACCTCAGTTTCCTCTCTGGAAAGTAAGAACACAACACCTGCATGGCCGATGTCCAGGGTCTGCACATAAACATGGGGGCCTTGTGTGTGAGGTCACTTCCCACCTTTCTATCTAGTCAAGGGGCAAAACTCAGGTGGGCTACAGGCTAGATGGATAACGCACATGAGAGGCTGGCTGTGAGGAAAATGATGGTACAATACGGTGACCGATGGAACCACATCAGCCCTATGTGCAGGACCCCAAGGGAGGCTGGCAATTGTGGATAATTAAGAGACTACAGTCCTCTAAGGAGGCA